AAATGAATCGAAATTGAAATCGAAAGACAGGTTGCGGTTTGGTAATCTTGCTCTATTGCTACATTAAGTACAATTGGACTGCTTTTGGCTCGGATAGATTGAAAGTAGCTCTAGTATTGTTTATTCCTCTAAACGAAAATCCCCCCCCCCCCCCCCCCTAACCGCGGCTCTTGGAAATTTCGTGGTTCCGTTTGTGGCTCTTAGACCGGGTCAGCCTGTTTTTTTCTACATTTTTTCGTTTGTTGCGTGAATTCTTGGCTATTTATAGACGCTTTGCAGCAGCTGTTCATGGGCGCCGTAATAACCTACCTTCAATTCAAGAACGCAGCTCATAGGCGCCCGTTTCCGCGTATAATGTCGTCGCTGTCGGCGTCGTCGTTGCCGTCGGCCTAACTGTCGCACTAAGTTTAGCGGGAAATTGAACTGGTGTTGAGGTCATGTGGTGTCAACTTTCCGCCAAATATAGCGGCGAAACTGAATTTGTTCGTCGGTGACGTGACACGAAGTCATGTGCCGTCAATTCCCCACGTGTTGATGTCACGTGGCGTCTACCTCAAATAAATTTAGCGAGGAACTGTGGGGGGAGGGGAAGGTACGGAGGATAAAAAAAGGAGGGGACGCAGAGGGAGGAGGGGAGGGTAAGGCGGTGAAGGAGGGAAGAGGAGAGGAGGAGGAGGAGAGGAGAGGAGATGAGAAAAGGAGGAAAGCAGAAATGAAGGGGAGGAGGAGCAGCAGAGGAGGACGGAAGGGGGAGTTATGAAGGAGGAGGAGGGTAGGGGAAAAAGAGGGCGTGGACGAAAAGGAGGGGTGCACCCTCCCCTCCTCCTCCTCAAGAGCTACGCTTTAATTGCGCAATACAGAAATTTGTAAACGTCTTTCACTTTTTCTTTCCCCTTACTCCGTTTACTTCACTGCATCATTGTCATAGCAGGTGAGGTTATTGTCATTTTATATTCTACTGTGTCCTTCTCCCTAAGGTGCCTTCATGTGCGCTTCGCATAGGGTGATGCCAACTGCCTGTTTCCCTTTCCCACACCCTCGTCCACCGCCATTTTGTTCCTCATTGTTTTTTCGTGCGCCAGAAAGTGGCGTTTGTGTCCATCGGCCCTCCCATCCGAGGGAGGAAATGCTAATCCTCCCTGCGTGGGTTCCACAACGCTGCTCCGAACTTGTGAGATAAGGTGCTTGTCTCCGGGAGGGTTGTAAGCTCACGGATTATCTCCGAGGAACAAAATGGCTGCTGGTTTGTCAGCGAGTGGTATTAGAAAAGGTGGCATCACCCCAGTAAAGCCCCCATGAAGGCTCCCTTCTTCTCCCCAGCTTTCGCCATTGTGGAGGCTTGTCAACGACGGTTTCGGTGTCTCGGTATCTCGTTAAGACAAGGAAAGGTCAGCAATGGATGCTGTCATCTAGCGCATGTATAGGGCGTCTGTCACCCTTGAGCATAAATCTTCAGACCTACCTTATGATTTCTAGTTTTTATAAACTGAGTTTTTGCTATATGTTCACTATTTTGCATTTATTCAGAAACAACAGTTAGAAGTCATGTGTGACAACACGTTTTTTTTTTCTTTTTTTTAAATACCCTTTGCTTCCCTTACTACTAACACACAAGTTTTGTTTGATATATTGGCGTGTTGTTTACTATAACAGGTGAACATAAACATTTTGGGCCATTTTTAACTGATTTGCTTACTTAAAAACACTTGGAAATGCGTGACAAAACACGCTGGATAATTTAGTAGAATATATAGACCTATTAAAGCGGTATTTATTTTGTACTCTCGTTTCAATGCTTTCTGTAAACAAGTAGAAAGTTTACTCCGTTTCAGCCTGTTTTTCATAAAATTAAAGGTGTCATTAAATGAAATGTGGCAAGATATGTTGGAAAAGGTATGTCTACATCGCCAATATGATCTAGGGTTTTGAGTTTAGTATAAATACGAAAAATTACGAAAAACCCCCTCCGGTAAATTTTAGGTCAATAAGGATTTTTTACGGTAAACACCAAATCTCAATATGCCAATGTCCTCACCGGAAATAAGAAAAGTATTTTACAATTAAGTTTGGTGAGCACACAAGGTCAATGGTTCTGGGTAAGGCCACCACAGTCAACTTTCTAATCTCGGGTCATTCATGACAACATGTCATTGTACTTTGAGGTCGCGTCAAAGGCAACTGTTTTGGTTTTTAGTTCGGGGCATCATATCTTTGTTTTAGATCAAGGAGGGGTGGGCACTTTTGTAACACTGAAAGCTGTGCACTATAGAAATTGCCCAAAATGGGCCGAAAAGGGCAGTTGAAACTTCTCCATTACATACTTCACCACTGCACCTCGGTCGGCCACGGGGTAGGTTGATGGAATAGGGTGGGATGAATACGAGCTTCTCAGCAACAACCTCCAGGAGTTTATTGCCTTTAAGGTATCGACACTTATCAAAGCAACACTTGTGTGCAACTCTAGTCGTTGGACGAAGTAGTAAGAGCGATGGCACGTGCACAAAATTCAGTTGAGAATATATTAGGTTGCAAATGTCTTCCGGTATGTGGACGATTTTCTGGATTTGTTAGATGCCGATGCCTTACCATTTTGTTGGGCAATGACTCGATCATCTTTCAGGCATTTTTAGTGATTGCCTTTCGCAACTTGTTTTGACTCATGCGGTGCCTGAGGCAGGATGTATTCGATTCTGGGACTTTATTTTAACAATTAGTCCAGGCCATGTTTGTGAGGGCTACGGACCGCGTGCTGGAAAGCCACTGTTGCGGCTTTCCAGCACGGGAAGACTGAACACCTCGCAGATGCTGGATTTCCCTCCCACGTGTTAACAGTGGTTGATGAGTCTCTGCTCAAAGATTTAAATGGCAGGCCTGAGACAAGAGCAGAAGAGGTCAACAGATGAAAGGGAAAAAAGAAAGTTCGTTCTCATTCGCTATATTCATGCTTTGGCCCACAACTTAAAACGCATTGCGGACAGGTGTGACGCCGACGTTTTATTCTCTGCTCCGGACAAGTTGTCCAGGTTGTGCGGAACTGTTAACCCCTTTTCCAAAGAGGCCACGGCTTGCAACGTGAGGCATCGGAATCGCTTCGTCGCCTGTTCTGAGGGAATGGTTTATTTTCTTCCTCTAAAGTATGGCAAGCGTTGCGTTGGTCAGACGAGCCGTTGTATAAATGACAGGTTAAGAGAGCACGCTTACAGTGTCGCCACAATCGTGTCTGGTCATGTGGGCATTCATTGCCGCGACTGTAGTTCCCTACCCGACTGCGAACGGTGTGAGGAAGCGTCACAGGGACCAGCTTGCTCATGAAAATCTGGAGGCTGTTGATTAAGCGAGGTTGAACGCTGCATATGTAAGCAGTCCATCTGTGGCCCTATCTGGCAGAGATGAATTTTCTAGATCTCTAAGTTTCATGTTTTTTTTTTTCTTTAACACGTGCTGTGTAAGGCTGTGAAATGGGGCCTATTTAGTTTTTATTTTCTGTTGGTGACGTATCTGGTGGGCAGAATTCTTCCTTTAGTTTCTTCTCTTTTGTTTGTGAAAATGCAAATAGATATTGCAATTTTGCCATAAATAAACTCAGTAATAAAATAAGTCAGCGTGGCGTCCGTTTTAATTCTTCGTCTAGTCCACGTCTTTTCGCGCTGTTTTTAACTCTTAGATATTATAGCATACTATAGTGTTTTATCTATTTTTCATTTTTTATCTTGCATACATTTACACCCAAATATTGCTTAGGTATTTCTTTATTTTTAGTGGGAATCAGAGCGAAATTAAATTCCGAGTTTTAGATAAACGGAAATAAAACAAAAATAAATTTCGATAAACTCCTAATTTTCGCCTAAACACAAACGGCGAAAAACACCCTCCGATTTATGATAAGGAAAGAGTAAAATTTAAGACAAACAGACAAGGCAGGCTCTTGTCTGTTTGTCTTAAATGTTCCTCTTTCCTTATCGTAAATTAATAACCAACACGCTTAACCTTCTACACCCTCCGAATTTCAGGAAAAATAAACTCCGAAAATACGGAATCCTACCAATAGCACATACAGTTGTATTTTCTTATTTTAAGCCGATCCGTGAGGTTCAAATTTAGGCCTGGATCGTCTGGCGTGGCGTTACCCTATAGGCCGACGAGCTCCTTGCAAACATGCCCCCAGCAAGTGTGGGCACAGGCGCAGTTCCAGAAGGAGGTGTTCCGCAGAAACCAGATTCGCGTAAAGTAGAGCTCTGCGCATGCGCCCTGCCAATACCTAAGACGTGACCCCGGGGCCGCGTGTTAGGGTACACAAATTAAAGTGCGACTTACATATGTAACAATTTTTTTAGGAAAATACTGTGTCTGTGGGGGGAGGGGGGTGGAGGGGATGCGATTTGTTTCATCTCTTCTCTGAAAACGGCCGCTTAAAGGGCGTGCTTTTTTTATAAAGTTGCGACTTATACACGGAAATATTTATTACGGAAAACATCACAAAAACGAAAACGAGACATTAATACTTTGCATAATTTTTACCAATTCAATGTTAAAAAAAGAGAGCGACCGCTTATCCAATTATATATTGGCTTAAGGGTGCAGTTACGAAAACTGGTTATTTTTTAGTTTTGACAGACATTAAAATTGAGAAGTGTTCCGTAAAGGATTACGTAATCGAAGCCCAAAACTTGTCTGCCTCGTCTTTGTACGGTCATAATCGCAGTTACCGAGAACAGGGAAACTCTTGGCATCCGGCGCTGTCAGAGCATTCGGTATGGCAAGGCTGCAGTATAGTGATTCGGACGGTCTGCAGTTGTAGTTGGGCCAGTAGGGCGTCTGGTAGTACCCGAGAACCTGCGCAATTATGTTCTTGCTAACGGTTATTGAGATAGTATACTTCATGAACAGTTCGAATTTTATATACACACGTAAACCAATCTGAAATCCCGGAGCTCAACGGGGGCTCTCGAAACTTAATCCTTGTTTTGGAGAAAAAGAAAGGGGAGTAAATGTATACATACCTGTAGCAATGAGCAGCAGTTAAAACAAACTGGCGGCTTATTAAAACGCCACCGCAAAAGAACCGGTCTTCTGCAGTATACAGCCCCACCATCCATGGCCAGGAGCCCGGAGCCGCCTCGGTACCATTACTAATCCGCTCAGAAACGGTATCCTGGACTCCCCGTCGTCCACATATCTTCTTTAAATCATCTTTCTCTTCGTTTGTGTATCTTGAGCATACCCCTGCTGTAAATGGCAAGTAGGAGATAACCGTGTTTATATGATCTAGGAGGTTCTAATTATTATTAATAACAACCTAAAAATAGTTTGGGAAAGTCTGTTGGAATGGTGTGGATCAGTTCACTTACACTGCTTTCATAGAAATTAAACTTTGCAGGAATAATCAAATGATTCCACGTCAACTAAACAAAAATAGTTTCGAACAATATCACGAGACTCGCCGTGAAGGTTGACATCGCTTTCTTGAGAACTATAGTCGCATTTTGATTAAATCCTTCCTGTAACATTTATTTATATTATAAAATTTACGGATCTTGGTGGAGGTTTGCAGAGATACAACAGATAAACAAAGAAAATGGCAATAAACCATAAATGAGATTATTTTCTTGAGGAAAATGTTTGAGCAACTTATAGTTTTCTGAAATAAACGAAGAACATATCACAGGCTGGAAACATTTCGGTTGCGGTGTCACCATTGATGAAAATCTCATAGCAGATTATTTTAAAAGGGCCCTGAAAAAAAAAATAACAGTTTGGATGGGACACGCGTGTCAAAAAATATTTTGCGCGAAAAAAAAAGAAAAGAAAAAAAAAATAAGAAAACATTTTAGAGCAATATTGACGGCGCTGGGCGCGGTTGTGTCGGCGGTCACCTCCTTTCCATTTTTTTTTCTCAATTTCGGGCGCGTGGAGGAGAGGTGGATCGGGTTCGCCTTCATGACCGAAATGGTCATTCCGGAATTACCCGTGACGTCATGGACTTCGGGCGCCGAATTTCAAATAAATCTCACGCCGTGAATATGGCTCTGAAATATCTTTTTTTGATACAATTTATTTGTCGACACGCGTGCCCCAACCAAACTATTAAACTTTTATTTTCTTTTGAAAGGCCCTTTAACGAAGTGTAAATGTGAACAAAAGGAGGTTGTTCACACTGTGTTCTCAAATGTATATTCTATTCCTCAGACCTTTCTAAGTACGCCATTTTCTTCGTAGAAACATTTCTTTGTAATACGTGCCCATCTAGGCACTCTCAGCATTTTTTTTTTTTAAATTTCAGCCTTCTGCTTTCAGGAGCCCCCATAACAAAGGCCACAATAAATAAATGTGGTACAAATGAGCACGCTTTCAGAGCTGTGATTGTGTTCAAATGAACGTAAGAGCGTTGTTTGAGTCACTTATGTCCGAGTCCCACTAGAGCAACAAACAGAAACAAAAGAGAGCGACAGGCCTCAAACACAGGTAGCATGCTCACGATGGTACTTTTGGCAGACGTTTAGTCGTTCGGTGCTCGTAAAGTAAGCACGTGTGATTGCAAGCCTGCCAAAGACACCATCGTGCTCATGGTGCTCGTGTTCGAGCATAGTCACCTTTATTCTACGAAGCCTGTCAAATCGCGAAAGACTCTGGATTGAGGCCTGTCCCTGTTTGTTTCTGTTTGTTGCTCCAGTGAAACTCGACCGTCACAAAACGCAGTTGAACAGGAAACAAACTCGCAACGCCTTTTGAGCAACACTGAAAATACTTTCAATATGCATGGTCTTGAATAGAACACAAACAAATTTTGAGAGGCAAACTAGCTGTTTTCACAAATATTTGACTAGGTGAAAAGCAAGTCATTAAGTTTTTTTCATTTAATATTATTGAAAATATAGTGCGCTCGCTTAGGTCTTTCTCAGTAAAAATGTAATTCTGCGGTGATCCCTCTAAGGGCCATTCACCACCAGCACAAACAACTTCCCCTGGGAAACCTAGTTGCTATAAGTTTAGTTCATTTCTCACGGATCTAGATTATAAAACAGAATTGGAGAATGTGGGCGAAGAGGTCGTAGAATAATTGGGCCAGGCAGCAACTGCCCAACCAAGATGCCTAAGTTTTTTGTGATATCGTTACAGCTCCTGATAATGTTCCTGGCACCAACGTGGCCCTCTATGGCAGTGAACGGCAACACGATCATCGGCGGCAACGTCACATCGGCGACGTCTACATTTGTTTTCGAGATTACAAGCTCGTCATCGCTTCAGTGCTCCACGTGGAACGGACTAAATCACATGCTCCCGACGACGCTGATTGAAATCAGTCTTTCGCCTTCAACCACCACCATGGATTCAGCGCCACTTGAAAAAAAAAGCGGCTGCGTCTTTCGATTTCACCAGTGGGCCAGGCAGCAACTGCCCAACCAAGACGCCTAAGTTTTATGTGATATCGTTACAATTTAGTGATTTCAAATACCTGTCAAAAGCAACAATTTGTGCTTATTTTTGCTGCCTGGCCCCAAGGCTTGTTTTTCGTTGTACATAGAATGTCTCAGCATTTTCAGTTTTTCTGTTTCTACGTATGTTGAAAGTGTTAGTTACAGTCTGCTTTTGCTCCTTGGCGGGGACATTGAATCTAACCCCGGGCCCACGACCAAACCCCAAGAAGAACAATTTAATAAAGTGCTTGAAATCGTTCCGACGCTACAGGCAGGTCAGAACAATATCCTCCAGGAAGTTCGAGATTTAAATTTAAAGCAGAGTACGACCGAGGAATCTGTGAATGCCCTCATAACACGCGTTAATCGGGTGGAAAACGAACTTTCGAAGTTAAAAGAGTCCGGCTTTACAATAAGCACGACTTCCGATCCGCAACTAACATCCGCCGTTAACGAGATATCTCAGCTCAGGGCGCGCTGCGATGGCGCAGAGAGCAGAGCCCGTAGGTGAAATCTTATCTTTTTTGGTATTCCTGGTACGGACAAAGAAACATGGGCGCAATCTGAAAAGGCTGTTATTGATGTGTGTCTCGAAAGATTAGGGTTGGAACTTGCATCCATTGAAAGAGCGCACCGTTAGGAAGGTTTAATCAGCAAAAACATCGACCAATCATAGTAAAATTGTTCTCCTACAAAGATAAGGAGATGGTGCTTTCTAACGCGCACAAATTCAAGGGAACACACCTTGCTGTTAGCGAAGACTTTATACCATCCGTGCGTCTTGCTCGAAGAAAACTACTCCAATTTGCAAAGCCTCAAGGCCTATCTTTCAAGCTGCGTTTCGATAAGCTAGTTATGGGAAAGAAATGCTACAAATATACCCTTAGCGAAAAAACGGGGCTCTTAGAGTATACTTTATTTGCACTTCCAGAAGTATGCTTGATGCTCTAAATTGGCCGGTTTTTAGTATACTTCTGACGCACTTCCAGAAGTATGCTTGATGCTCTAAATTGGCCGGTTTTTAGTATACTTCTGACGCACTTCAAAAGTAGCATTTCCCCATACTTTTAGTATACTTCTAAGGATACCTTTAAGAGGCATTTTAGTATACTTCTTACGCACTTCAAAAGTAACATTTCGCTATCCTTTTAGGATACTTCTAAGCATGCCTGTAAGAGGCATTATAGTACACTTCTTACGCACTTCAGAAGTAACATTTCGCCATCCTTTTAGGATACTTCTTCTAGTACACGTCTGAGCAGAATTTTAGTATGCTTTTATGCAGGCCTTTAGTACTAGAAATTGTACCCCGGATTAAACTTGGAAGCAGGCTTTCAAATATAATCGGGGGTACACTTAATAGAACTTTTAAAGCATTTCACCAATTTATTCCTGACCAATTCCAGATAAGAAAAGTAGAAAATTATAGATTTAACAATTGCAGTGGTTTGTGTTGTGTTTCTAAGACCATGGAGTACTCGCAGCCGTTACGAATAAACCTTTAGTACATATAGAACAACTATTTACAATCAGGGTGATTCCGGTATCGGCAGACGGCAGCGTTCGGCTGGCTCGCTGGCTCGCGTCGGTCGCTCGAGCTCGCTTCTTCCTCGTCGTTCCGTGTGTCTACTTCTGGACACAACACTCCCTCAGACTAATCACAGTCCGTACCGAGACACCGGCTTGCGTGCTCTCGAGGGGTATCGGCGATCCGCGCTTTCAGACGTTGTTCGGGCACCCGGAGAAGGGACAGTTGCTTTTAAATCTGGTTTCCCACGTTCCGCTGATGTACTTTCCTCCGGTTCGGGATTGAACAGAGTATCTGACTCGGATTCCCCGGTGCCTGCAACTTGGCTTGGTCGGCGAAGAAGTTGGTTGACGTGTCGTTTCCAAACTCCGTTGGGCACCTTGACCTTGTAGTGCGCTCTCCCAAGACACTTCAGAATCGTGCCTGGAATCCAACTTCTCTTTGCCTTTCGGTAGTCTCGCACCAAAACCCCGTCTCCCTCTTCAAACTTCCTTTTCGGTTCTTTCTGAGCTTGAAACTCCGATAACTTCTCTGGGTGAAGTAGATCCCATCCTCGTCGCCACTTTGTTGTGTTTCTAAGACCATGGAGTACTCGCAGCCGTTACGAATAAACCTTTAGTACATATAGAACAACTATTTACAATCAGGGTGATTCCGGTATCGGCAGACGGCAGCGTTCGGCTGGCTCGCTGGCTCGCGTCGGTCGCTCGAGCTCGCTTCTTCCTCGTCGTTCCGTGTGTCTACTTCTGGACACAACAGTTTGCACTTATCGAAACTGAAATGCATTATGTTACAGGCTTTAATGTGGACGAGTTCAAAGTGATGACAAATTATAGTAAGAACTTTTTATTAAACAAATTTGTTTTCAATAGAATGAACACATGTTGCCTACAACAAACACTTACGATGGAACAAAAAACGCAATACTGTTAGTGGCTTACAAATATCACGGATGCACTTAATTCTTTATAAACAAGCTCTTATTAGAAGAAAAAAATAATTACAAACTATCATGCTGAAGAAAAACGAGCAAAAATAGTATTGCACCTGTTAATATAAAACCTACACTATTTATGATCTACCATGACTGAAGTAACATCACCTACATGACTGAAGTAAAATGAGCCCTCATAACACGCGTTAATCGGGTGGAAAACGAACTTTCGAAGTTAAAAGAGTCCGGCGTTACCAACCCCAGGAATCCGGGACACGCCGCTGCTTACAACTTGCGCCATCTCTTGGCAGTCACATCAGCGCCCCAGCTTAACTCAATGGGCAAAAAA